AAAGTAATAAAATTCAATTATTTTCAAAAATTTTAATAAACCTCATTGCAAAATTTCAATGTATTTTCAAAAATTTTTCTTAATTTAATAATTTGTGTATCAATTATTTTTAATCGAAATTTCCAAAAGAATTCAATTATTTAAAAACAATTTCAATTGATGTTTCTTAAATCTATGTTCCTTATATTTCTAATATTTTATCAATAAATTGTATTTAAAGTTGTTTATGAATAACTATTGTATGTATGTAGAAATTATAAAATTGTTTATAAGTACTCCCTAAATTTTAATTAGTGGAAATATTTATTAATTTTAATTAGTTACTGACTTTTTGCTTTTTAATTAGTAAATTTCACTAAAAAATTAGTAGAAATGATTATTTATTCGTAAAATTTACTTCTTCAAAAGAAAAAAGTCAGTCACTAAATCAAATTAGTATTTAAATTTAGAGAGTAAGTAAAAATTTACTTGAAATAAACTTATTGAGGAAAACTTATAAACAGAACTTACTCTATTACACTCGATTATAAATAACAAATATTTTGAAAATTAGTACCCTAAAAATGGACCTTGAAAAAAATTATTTTGCACCTTGAAAACCTTGAAAAGTCCTTGAATTTTTTTTAAAGAATCGCTGGACACCCTGTCATACTTTTGTTTTATTTTATATTGGTGTTGAATTAGTGCTCATCGCTAGCTTTGAGTGACTCATATTTCACCTGTTCGTTCGACTGGATACATGTGATAGCTGTTGTATGTGTTTGTAGCAGTTATTATCGTCCTTTGTCTTTTATTACGATGACTTCTCCAGACGAGGAAAGGTGGACTAAACTGTTTGAATCTATTGATTCTTTATCTTCCTCTCTTTCGGACATGAAGAAACAATTTGCGGAACACAATGCCAAGTTGGAAATTATCGAAAATAAATATTCTGACCGGGAAGATAAATTCAAACTTTTTGAAAAGGATATAACTTATTTTAGTGAATCTTTACGAGCGAAGAATATTATTCTCTATAATTTAGACGATTCGAGCGAGATTAACAAAAATTTAATTTCTGTCGTTTGTGAGACTTTTTCTAAGGTTGGATTAAATATTCCCGATCTAGCAATAGCTGATGTTTTTCGTCTTGGCAGTACGCAGGGCAATCGCCCTATTATTGTGAAATTCATCGCAGTCAGATGGGTCAAAATGGTTTTTTCCAAGTTGGTCGAGCTGAGGGCTAATAATTTGAGTATTGCTACACGGAGAGAAGAGTTGCAGTAAATGTGACAGAACGCGTTTAGTAAATCATTTAGTGCACCGGTTAGTGGCGCCAACTGTATGTTTAGTATAATACACTACGACACCTCTCTGTTTAGTAGAATATACTGTTTGCTCAGTGTATCTTACTATCTTACTAAACAGTGCAGTAGATGGCACTGTCTGTACCGTCAGTCCAAACCTAACGATTCTGTTTAGTAGATTTAACTGCCATGTCAGTAGAATCTACTACGCCCTTCTCTCCGTGTAATGATCGTTCCAAAGCTGAGAGGGATCAACGCCGTGTTTTGGTCAACAAAGTCCATGAATTGAAGTTGTCTGGGGTGAAGGCCAGGATAAGAGGGAATAAAATCATTGTTGATAATCAAACAAGTTTGTCACAAGAGGACTCTCTTCAGCGTATCTTAGACAGACCTTCTCCCAAACCTGATACCAATAAAAATGTTCAACAGTCCCTACTCTTTTCCCAAACTCTTGGCCTTAAAGGTGATCTTACTCCTGCTCCGAAGACTGTTAAAACTAGAAAGAAGAGGAAAATTTAAACACCAAAGGAGAAAATTTCTAATTTTATGGATACGCTTGAAAATTTCGCGACACCTGACACACCGAAACTTACCCAGGAAGATTCGAATCTTAAGCGTTTACAGACTGCTAAAAAATTGGATCTGAAGGATGGGAAGTAGCAACCAACCCATGGTCAATCTCCAAGTAGGAGTCGTCTTTTCAGAGAATCTTCTTTTTTGGATAACCCCTCCACTGGTAAAGTCGTTTTTTGGAATGTTCATGGTATTAATAACCTTGGAGACATTAATGGCTTCATCGATTCTCGAGATATCTTATGTTTATGTGAAACGTGGTCGGAATCTGCAACCATTCATCTATTCAATGGCACTCCTTTCAGGTATATTATCTCTCTAGCGAGAAGAACCTACAGTCAGGGACGAGCCAGTGGTGGTTTGGTAATAGCGTTTAACACTGATTTATATAATGTATCGGTAATTTCTTTAGATTTCAATTATATATTTGTTAAAGTCAATCGTTTGTCGTTAGTTGAGTGTTATATTTTGGGTTTAACGTATATTTCTCCAGTTGAGGATCTGGATGTATTTTTAGATAATCTCAATTTAATTCTTATCAATTTGACAAATGATTTTCCAAATACTCCTGTTATTTTGGGGGGAGATTTCAACTGCAGGGTGGCTGATTTAAATCAGCTTAGCCCTGACTTTTTTAATTTTGTAAATTTTTTGGCTCCAGATAGATCTTCCTTCGATAAAGTTGTGAACTCTAAGGGTAAAACGATTACAAATTATTTAGAGGCGCATGATTTTGTTTTGTTGAATGGTCGTACTTTCAGTGATTCGCCTGCGAACTTCACATTGGATGGATTCCGAATGTAAAGATGCTAAAAAAAAGAGTTACTGCGATGTTAAATGATTGTAAGAGAAATAATTTTTCTAATATTTCTAAGGAACTATTTCATATAGAGAAAAAGAATTATAAGAAAATTTTAAAAGTTAAAGAAAAAAATTATATTTCAGCTAGAATCGAAGCAGTTAACAATTGTAAAAATGCGTCTCAGTTTTGGAAGGCCATTAACTCTAGTCGTCCTAAAACTTTTTTAATTTTTGTATTGATGATGCGTCGTGGGTTCAATATCTGGATGACTGTTTCCCGAGTATCCCTTTCCCTTTGGATTGTAAGTTTTTAAATCGCTTTGTTCCCTTGTTAGATGACGAAATTTCAACGTATGAGCTAATGAAGAGTCTTGCCAAATGTAAAAATGGGAAGGCCCCTGGACTTGACGGCATTAATTATAATTTTTTCAAACATTTACCGCAGAATTGGATTCTGTATTTAAACAATCTTTTTAATAATATAATGAAATCCGAAAAAGTCCCTAAGATTTGGGGTCAGCTAACTACTTCAATGCTATTTAAAAAGGGTGATCCAAAAAACCCTGATAATTTCAGGCCGATCACCCTTGTAAATTGTGTGGTTAAAATCTTTACTCAGATTCTATGTGATAGACTTAGACAGTGGACGGAGGAGCACAATCTGATACCGGAGTCTCAGGCTGGGTTTAGAAGCGGTAGAGGTTGTTTAGACAACCTATTCAATCTCTCCGCAATTATTCAGATCCATCTGAGTTCTCCGAGATCGGTTGTGTATGCCGCCTTCATAGATTTCAAAGGGCCTTTCCCATCGGTCTCTCATGTTAAGCTTTGGAACAAATTATATGCCTTGGGACTCAGCTCAAAGTTTATTAATATTTTGAAGAGTTTTTATTCATACGCTCATACATGTATCAAAACTATGCGTGGCTGAAAGTGTTAAAGTCACTCAAGGTGTGTTGCAGGGAGAGGTCCTGAGTCCCTTTTTATTTCTTCTTTTCATTTCTGACATGGAAAAATTTTTTATGGATCCGTATTGCCGTGGACTCTCTATAAGCAAATCAACTGAAGTGCTTATGTTGGGTTATGCGGATGATTATGTGTTATTATCTCATTCGCCCCTTGAATTGCAAAACAAACTTAAAGCACTTAACATGTACTGCGAATCGAATAGCCTGATAGTCAATACCAACAAAACAAAGATTGTGATTTTCACTAATTCCCCCAACTCATGTGCAAATAAATTTAAATCTTTCAAGTTTGGAGATGAGGATATTGAGGTGACAAACGAGTATGTGTATCTTGGTATAACTTTTAATAGATTTAGTTCTTTCACTCCTGCCGCGAGAAGAGCAGTTAGCGCAGCAAATACCGCTGTTGGTTCGGTGCTTAAAACAATACTTCAATCGCCTAAGCTACTTTTTTTGCTCCTTAATTCGATCCAAGGCCTGAGAATTATGCAATTAAATTAAAAAATCAATTCAGTTGATTTAAATATATTAAAAAAATAATTCTAATTCAATTTCCTTATTTTATATTATAGTATTGATAAAAATTAAGAATCATTCGACTATTTTTTGTTTCATGTAAAAATAATAACGTGAACCCATTCTCACTGATTGATCAGACTCGTTCAGTGTAGTTGTAAATGCTTTTTTAGGTCCGATATGACTTTCACTTTAGGCGTATGAAAAATAATTGTCAAAGTGAGATTTTAAGTTTTTTGTTTTTTAAAGATCAGACTCGAGAAGAAGCTTGAGGGTGTTTCAGGCCGGACGTTATTAGATTACAATAACAATATTGTTATTTCCAGACAATGCAGAGAAAGATTTTCTTTTTTATTCATTAATAATGGAACTATAAAGAACAGATTTAAGTTTATTTGGAAATTTTTGTCTTTTACATTTTAAACAGTTCGACTAGTGTTCGAATTTGAAAATATCTAAACTTCTATTTCTTTAGTTTTCTTTTTTTTCATAGAGTTTAAAATCTCTCGATTTCGATTCAAATTTAATTTTTCAAATTCGAGATATTTTGAAGAAATTTTCAATTTTAAGTTATAAGTTATTCAAAGACTTTCATTTTTGATGTTCTGAGCTTCTAATTTCAAAAAGAATTTTTGTTTAATCTTAAAATCAAACTGTATCTGCGTCGTTACTTTAAAAAAATTGGGAATTTTGAATTAGAAAACTCAGTTTTTAATTATAAAGATAATTTTTGGGATATATTTAATATTATCTTTGAAGAATTTAATTATTCTCACATTTTTTTTACAACTAGGACGTCCTGTGTTATTACTTTTGTAAGAATATTGTACAAAAATTTGACTAAAAACTGAACGCGTTTTACTTTTCAACAGCATTACTATATTTTAACTCGACGCATAAACTATACAAAAATCAGCGCTCGAAATCGGGGAAATAAAAAGAAAATGAGAAAATGTACTGGACGGTACTTGGGTGAACGTATATCGTAAACGAAGCATTTTTTTTGTTGAAAATTCTTCTTTTTTTCCAAAAAAATTGTTTATAGTTGTTGTTAAAGAAGAAAATAATACTTTTTTTCGCGCATCATAACACTTGATTTACTTAACAAGATGAGTCTTCAATTCAGAATATTCACCATTTTATCGTTTCACGCCCAATTCTGTTAATAAAATTTTTCAGGAAGTTCCCACGTTGAGTTTTCTAATTTTCTTTATTTGACTAGAACTCGTATTCCAAATTTCGCGTAGACCTGTAAACAGAAAAATTTCTATGTTTTGCCTTTTGATTTGATCAGGGTTGCCACAGGTCAGGGAATTTAGGGAAATTAGGGATTTTTATTAAAAGTACTGGAAAAAATTTAAATTTTAGAATTCATAAGAAAATTCTGAATTTTGGTGTCTTTTTTATTTGCCTCATAAAGTATGAAATTACCACGAATTCTAATACGAAACCTTCAATTTTTTCTATTTCTGACAATAATTTCTTTTTAAATAACTTAATTCTGGAAGAACTGCTATAAAATTATTTTTTATAAATTATTTAATGAACAATTTTACTTAAATATTTCAAAATTATTTGAATTTTAAAAATGTTGCATATACAATTTTTATAAATAGATGAACTTCAATAGGTTTCAATTTGAAATTTTAGAAAATTTTGATTTTGAATGAATTTCATTAGAAATTTTAAAAAACCTACATTTTTGAAAAATTTTAATAATTCAAATTCTTTTGAAATTAGTTAAATTTTTTAATATATAATTAATTATTAAAAATAATGGATTTACAGAAGAATTTTTGTTAAAAACATTTTTAAAAAAAATTTAATTTTGGAAAAGTTACAAATGATTGCAGAAATTCAATTATATTCAAAAGTAATAAAATTCTTCGTAGGAAATTCAATTATGTTCAAAAATTTTTAAAAATTCTTGTCAAAATTTCAATTATCTTTAGGATAAATAATAAAATTCTTCTCCGAAATTCAATTATTTTCAGAAATAATAAAATTTTTCTTAGGAATTTAATTATTTTCATAAATAATACAATTATTTTTACGAATTTAATTATTTATAAATTATTTATAAATATAATAAAACTCAGTGTAGAATTTCAATTATTTTTAATAGAATTTTAGTTGAATTCGTTGAAAAATGTAATTATTCTTAAAAATTTTATTAAAATTTGTCAAAAGAATTCAATTATTTAAAAATGTGTTATTAAAATTCTTTATGAGAATTCAATTTTAAGAAACATTCAATTATTCAATAAATTATTTTCTTTTGTATTTAAATAATTTCCAATAAAAATTGATTAAGTCAATATTTGTAAAAAATTACCTATTTATTGGTAATTTTTTAAAAATATATTATAAGTATAATATATAGTTTTTACCAAGTGATAAATTCATATAAATATAAAAAGTTGATTTAAAAATGAATTTTAGTTAAAATTTTAGATAATAATTGAATATTAAAAGCATTATAGCATTCGTTATAGCATGAATTTTTAGAAATAATTGAATTTTGTAAAGGTAAAAGGTTTAAAATTAAAATCTTTGAGAATTTGAATTTTTTATACTTTTAACAAACAATTCTGTAGAATTAATTTTTTAAAAAAATTTAATTGAATTTTTTAGTTTTTATTTTCTAATATATATTTAATTAAGGGGCTTTCGAATAATCGAAATTTCGTAAAATTTAATTGTAAACAAATGGAATTGAAAATTCTCAAAGAACTTTTTCAAAAATTATTAAGAATAATTGATTTAAAGAAAAATTTTAGTTTAAAAATTCCAAAAAATAATAATTGAATTGAAATGATGAAAATAATTTTGAAAAAGTTACAGTAACAATATTCTTATAATATAAAATAATGATTTTTATTTTTAAATTGTTCGATTTCATAAATAATTTAGTGAGGATCAGAGCTTTTTGTAAAATAGGCTACAGGCCTATTAATACATACTTGGAAATAAAATAAATAAAAAAAATTTTTATTTTTAATTATTCGGTAATTTTTAATTATTATAAGACATGAAGAAATCAATTACTCCGAGTCGAAGACACGGATTGATCGATTTCTTCTTGTTTTGTCATAATATTCTTATAACTTGTTGAATTTCAAAAAAACGTTTTAATTTGAAATTTTTGAAAATCTTAATTCCTTTGGAAAAATAATAATGATTAAATATTTATTTAAAAAAGAAGTTATTTATTCTTTCGAATAATTTTACAATTATAGAACTTCGTAAATAAATGTAGTAGAACATTTTTTGAGTATCTAATAATTTTTAGAGTGAATCAGAATATTCTTTAGGGTCAGGGAAAAAGTGAAAATTTTGTCTGGACATCAGGGTAAAGTCAGGGAAAAGGAAAATTAAATTTTTGTGGCAACCCTGCTGTTGATTATTTTCGTAAAAAAAGGGATTTTTCTTTCATTTTTAACTGAGAAAGGAAAAATCTTCAGTAAATTACTAAAGTAAAAATATTTGCAAATTAAAAAAGGGAAATGGATAAATAAATTTTTGCAAATGTAACAAAAGAAAAACTCACAACTAGGGATTGACGGTTACTTGAGCCGTTGCGTTACGTTCGCCAGGGCAACAGCAAAAGCTTGTAAAGCACTAAAAGGATATTGGAAATCCAATGTGTACGCATTTCCGTCTATTCTTCCAAATTGCATAACCTGCAGGCAAAGAAGATTTATTTAATTTTCTGAAATACAATCTTGTCGATAGAATTTAATTTTTCCAACTTCATTCTCATTTTTACGTTATAATGGTACTCTCACAGCTCCGCTGCTGCCTGCCTGCAAAAGTACAAGAGAAAGAGAGTTAGTGAATTCAAATTTGAATTTATGTACGTTACCAAGACAACTTCTGCAGGCAGCAGCCGAGCTGTGCGAGTACCTTTATCACATGAGAAAGTATTATTTTCAAATTAAGGGAAAAAACAATTTTTTTAATTAAAAACAATTGTGTTAATCGTTAAAACTTAAAATTGATTTTTTATCCCAGAAATTACTTGAATTGGAAATAATAATTTTCTTATATTTCATTTTTTGAAGAAAGGATTAATTTTCGAACCTGTTTTCCTCTGAATTCAATTTGGAAATTCTTCGCACTTTCCTGAGTGACCCGTCCACCAAAATCGAGTTGATAAACTTGACTAGATTCATTCCACATCGGTGCTTTATTATGCATCACTAATTCTCTTCGAACCACTTCCGGTTTCTGTCCTCCTCCAGCTCTTTGTTTCAACTAAATACATAATTCATGAACTATAAATATCTTAATCTGGATTAAGTTAAATTTAATATTATATATATATATATATATATATATATATATATATAAATATATATATATATATATATATATATATATATATATATTGTAATCGTTATTTTCAGCTCGAAATTTTTAATAATGCAAAATTTATTTATAGAAATAATTTTTCAGAATTTTTGAAACCTTTTGACGAAGTTGTGCCTTCTGGAATGTCTCGAGATCTCGATAGCTTCTTGACGTTTCATCTTGGGCTGGACCTTCATCATCTGAACTTTCATTTCGATTTCTTCGACCTCTTCGACTTAATAAAGGACTAGAAAGAAGTCGTCTTCTGATTGGAGAAGCAGAGGCTGGTCTTTTTCCTTTTTTCGAAGGAGCTGGACTACTTGGTGAACTTCTTGGTAACCTTTTTGAAATTCAAAATTTTTTAAAAATTACCTTTTAAATTTATAGTCAAACCTGTTGAAATGCAACTCTGTTTAAAAAAAAAATTTTTTTTGTTTAAAAATGTTCAACAAAAATTATTTTCACTTGATTCCAGAATATTGTAAAAATATTACAAAATTAAATTATAAAATAATTATTTAAAGGATTGTTTACTGTAATAAAATTTAAAAAATCGAGTTGCATTCAGGCAAGTTTCACTGTAAATTTTTTGTATTTTACTTTGAAATAGTCCTTTTTGAATCATATAATTTACATTAGGAAAAAATAATTGAGAAATTTATTCTCCAGAAGTTTTTTCTTAGAAATTTTATTTCCATTGAATATTTGTAAGTTAATTTATTAACTTACTTACTTAATTATTATAGTTTAGTTAATAATAATTATTAATAATTATTTTATTTTAATTAATTTAATGTTTGTAAATATGAGGAAAATTTGATAATTAATTGGACATTTAAATTGAAAAAAATTACGATGTTGAAGTCCACATAGAAAAGAATCTTTTTATATAAATCTATTTTATATATTTTTTTGGCAATTTTTTTTTAGTTAGTAAAAGTTTTGAATTATTATTATAAACTAGCCACACTATCCGCGCGCAAGCGCGCGGAAATGTTGTATGGAACTGCTTATTTTAAACAATTTAAAAAATTTTAAAGAAATAATTATTATTACCTAACAAAGAGATTTAACTAACTAAAGTTCAAATAATTTCACTCAATGGTCTCAATTTAAATAGAATTTACATTACTAGACTTAAACTATGGATAGAACAATTCCAATTAGTATCTGAGTCATCTTTTGCATTGCTTATTTTATAAACCCATTTTAATTTAAATACTTTTTTAAGAAATAATAATTATTACACACTTAAAAAAGTTTTACTTGAAATAGCGATAAGTTTCTCTAGAATAACGAAAGTATTAATTGAAGCACTGAAAAATTTCGCTACTAAAGTGAAATCTGTAGTTTATCCAGCTAAATATTTTTTTCCGTGCATAACGAAAAAAGAATTAAATTAACATCAGATTTTCTAAATTAAAAAAAACGAATTCAAATAGAAATTAATCATTTTAAAACTTAACCAAATTCACCCCAGAAATCACTGAATTCGATAATTTAGAAGAAAGTCAGACAAAAGCAGGGTTCCTATACAGAATCTGGAAATCATGGAAATCATGGAAATGGTATGGAATTTTTAAAAGGCTTCTGGAAATCAGGGAAATCATGGAAAAGGCCTGAAATTTTTAAAAGTTTCTAAATTTTTCAGTTTTCCATTTTTTCTCTTGAATAGAAATTCAAATAATAATAATTAAGCTAAATCCCATAAAAGAGAGGAAAAAATATTGAATTTTAAGAAATTCGGATTTTTGAATTTTTGATAATTTTCGATAATTTTAGATTTTTTACCAAAGAGTCGAGACTATTTAATAAGTAAAGTATTTTCCAAGAGCACAAAAATAATGAAGCTAAATCCCATAAAAGAGAGGAAAAAATGTTGAATTTTAAGAAATTCGGTTTTTTGAATTTTTGATAATTTTAGATTTTATACTAAAGAGTCGAGACTATTTAATAAGTAAATTATTTTCCAAGAGCACAAAAATAATGAAGCTAAATCCCATAAAAGAGAGGAAAAAAGATTGAATTTTAAGAAATTCGGATTTTTGAATTTTTGATAATTATTTTCGATAATTTTAGATTTTTTACCAAAGAGTCGAGACTATTAAATAAGTAAAGTATTTTCCAAGAGCCCAAAAATAATGAAGCTAAATACTATCAAAGAGAAGAAAAACTGTTGAATTTAAAAAAATCGGTTTTTCGAATTTTTGATAAATTTTGATAATTTTAGAATTTTTACCAAAGGGTGGAGACTATTAAATAAGTAAAGTGTTTTTAAAGAGCCCAAGAATATTGAAATTAGATTTAAAATTCCACTGGAATTTCGTAAAAATTTGACCTGGAAATCATCGAAAAGGTATGGAATTTTAAATTCGGATTTCTGTAGGAATCCTGAAAAGGAAGTTCTATTTTGAATTTCTAAAATTTAATGTCAAATTTAACGCATTAGAAACGAATTACAAGTGAATCCGATAAATTTTGTTAAAATGCTATTACTGCCGTTAAACTTTCTTGTTGTACGAAGAAAATTGAATATCGCAAAAATTGTTACATATTTTATACTTTTATTTTAAAAATAATTTAAAAATTAAAAATAATTATGATAACGAAACTTTTAATTATTCTAAAAATTAAAAAAATAATTATTCATTTAGCTTTTTAAACAAAGAATTCCGTATCTTTCGAATTTAACATAACTGCAAATTATTAAATTAATTGAAAATGATAAAGTTAAACAACTTTTAATTTTAATTTCTTTGGAAAACAAAAAATCTGTAGTAAAAATACTAATTATAACTCCCATTAATTATTTAATTACAAGATGTAATATAATATAATGAAGCATCAAATTAAAAAAAATTCTAAATTCGTTTTTAGAAACAACAAAAAAAAAATGCCAGGTAAATTTTAGGCGTACCATAGACCCAAAATTTTAATTCTATATACATTTGTTGTTTAATTAAATTTTTAACTTTATAATTATCATTTACTCGGCAGATATGTGTCCATAATTTAATGTTAACATTATTTAAATATAGAGAAAAGATATTTGATGTAATATATTTTTAATTGAAAAAATTGACAATATATTTTCATTGATTAGTTGAATATTCTATGAATCACGTATTAATTTAAAACATAAAAAAATGTTAAAAGTTTATAAAATTAACATTATATTAAACAATTTTTTTTATGTAATAAAAATTATAAGAAATAAAAATTGTATTAAATTACTATTTTGTAAAATATACTTTGATAATTTAAATTTATGTTGTAGTCTTTAATAATATAGTAATTATTTCTAATAATAATTATATCTGTCAAAAGTTATGAAAAATAAATATTATATTTTTAATAATTACAGTATTTAGAGTTTTGCAAGTTAAAAAATTATTAAAAAGTTAAAAAACTAAATATTCTGTAATTAAGCAATTTATGAAAATAAAATTCAATTGAATGTTATATCAAATAACTTTTTTTAATAATATTGAAATAATGTTAACATTAAATTATATGCATTTAATTAAATTATAAAAAAGTATTTACCTTCAGAATGAATGATAGTTGAAAAGTTAAAAATTGAATTAAACACATAATAATATAAAACATAACCATTGAAACACATCAAAACACATTAAAAAGTTTGACATTAAAAAATATAAAAAATACCAATACTTAACCCACAAAATTTAATTTTCAAAACAAACAAATGAATGCAGATAATTTGCTAACGGAAAGGAAACTTACGATTATTATAATGTATAGTTATTAAATAGTTAAATAGTTATTACCTACAGTTATTAACTGTGGGTTGAGCTATTCGGAACTAAATATTTACGTAGAATCTTATAAATTTTTTTTAAATAATTGATTTTTTTGATTTTTTTTTTTTGAAAAATTTATTCAAATAATAGACATTGAAAATCGTTAAATTGAGGAATATTTTTGAAAATAATTAAAATTTTGCACAGAATTTTATTAAAATTTTTGAAAATAATTTAATTTCAGAGCAGAATTTTATTATTTATAATGATAATTCAAAATTCTGACTAGAACTTTTTAAATATTTAATTATTTTTATAAATTTTAAAAATTTCATCGAAATTCAATTATTTGCCAATTTTTTATAAATTTCTTTCCAATAATTTAATTATTTTCATAAATAATATTGAATTCATTCATCGCAGAATTTCAATTATTTTTAAAACAATTTTAATCGAATGCCTCGAAAAAAGTAATTATTCTTAAAAATGTTATTAAAATTCGTCAAAAGAACTCAATTATTTAAAAATTTGTGTATAAAATTTCTTATGAGAATTCCATTTTAAGCAATATTCAATTATTCAATAAATTATTTATTTTTGTATTTAAATAATTGAATTCCGTAGAATTTTCTAGTAAAAATTGATTTAAAAAATGAATTTTAGTAAAAATTTTAGATAGTAATAATTGAATATTAGAAGCATTACAGCATGAATTTTTAGAAATAATTGAATTTGTGGCATCCGTGATAATTAACATTAAAAGTAAATCGTTTTTGAATAATTTTTCAATAAAAAAGCGTAGATTAAAAGAAAATGATTTAGGAAATTTATTTTAGAACTACATTTCCTCAATATTTTAAGAAATAAAAAATTTTTTATTGGAGACTGAGAATATTCTCAGGGCTCGAAGTAGGTCCGTAAATCCTGAAAAAGTCCGTAACTTTGCTTCAAGTCCGTATATAATTTTGAGAATTTTAGAGAAATTACAAATGATTGCAGAAAGACAATTATTTTTAAAAGTAATAAAATTCTTCGCAAAAATTCAATTATGTTCAACAAATTTTTTAAATTCTCAAAATTTCAATTATCTTTAGAAATATTAAAATTCTTCTCCGAAATTCAATTATTTTCAAATAATCTAAAAAATATTGTCAACATTTCAATTATCTTTATAAATAAATAGCAAAATTCTTCGACAAAATTCAATTATTTTCAAAAATTTTTTAAAAATTCATTCAAAAATTTCAATTATTTTCATAATTAACAATATATTTTAACAATATATTTTCTCATAAACATTGATTTAAAAATATATTTCAGTTAAAATCTTAGATTATAATAATTGAATTGTTTCGAAGAATTTCATTAAAATTTTAAAAATATTTGAATTTTATCGAGACATTTTTTTAAAATTGTCTTAAAAATAATTAAATTTCTACCAAAAAAAAGTTTTATCAAAACTTTTTAAAATGTTTGAATTTCTGCTAAAATTCTGATATTTTTGAAAATAATTGAATTCTTGCGAAGAATTTTATTAAGACTTTTGAAAATAATTTAATCTCTGCAAAGATTTTTATTATCTTACGAAAATATTTAAATTATTGCGAAAAATTTTATTAAAATTTCTGAAAGTAATTGAAGATCTGCTAAGAATTTTGTTATTTTTAATTTATGCCAAGAATTTTTATAAAATTTTTTTAAAATAATTGAATTCCTGTTCATTTTTTATAAGAATTTAATTATTTTTGAAAATGTTAATAAAATTCTTCGCAAGAATTCAATTATTTTCAGAAATAATAAAATTCAATGCAGAATTTCAATTATTTTTAATACAATTTTAATCGAATTTCTCGAAGAATGTAAATTATTCTTAAAAATTTTATTAAAATTCGTTGATAGAATTCAATTATTTGAAAATTTGTTGATAACGATTTTTTATGGGAATTGAATTTTAAGAAACGTTCAATTATTCAATAAATTATTTATTTGCATTTTATTTGTATTAAAATAATTGAATTCTAGTAGAATTTTCTAATAAAAATTGATTTACATTTCATAAAAATGAATTTCAGTTAAAATTTTTGATTTTAGATTATAGATTATATATTATAGGGGGCCGTTCAAAAAATACGTAACGCTATTTTTCGGAAATTTGGACCCCCCCCCTCCCCTCCCCCTTCGTTATGAAAAATTGAATTTCTAGTTTTAAGTAAAATCTTCTCTTATTTGATTCGGACTGATTCTATTTTTGTCAGTTGGTCCGTAAATGGTCCGTAATTTTTCATTTTTGGTCCGTAAAGTCCGCATTTTTAAATACTTTCACTGCTTCGAGCCCTGTATTCTTAATTGTTAGTTTTTTTGTTTAATTTTTAATTTTAATTATATAATGGTTCTTTCGTTTAAGTTTAAAATTACCTTGTTGATGGACGAGGTGACGGTGGCGGTAAAGAATGACTTTCGTCAAAGTCTTTAAGCCTTGCTGCCAATCCATCCAAAGATGAAGCAACCGATCCACTTGCACTCGAAACTCTAAAATTCAAGAATTAAAATTTTTTATTTTTTTAATTATAAGATGAATATTATTGGAAATGAATAATACAAATCGTTTAGAGGAGTTATAAAATATATCGTTTTGAATAGTAATTTTAGGGGTAGGAAATTAATTCACCTGGCAGGAGATGCACAAACTTCCGATTGACCCGATTTTGTCTTCACTTCCAAAGTGTCCATTCTTTTCGTTTGACTTTCTTCCAAGTTTGCAATTGTTTCTTTAACAACAATTTTAGAATCGTTGATATTTTCATTTCCTTCAGAATTCCCATTTCCCTGTGTTTCTTCAGCGTGTTCCGGTAATTTTGGCGGTAAAGATATTTGCTCTGTACTTGGAAATATATCGCTTGAATCGAGACTTCTCGATTTACCACAATTCCTGAGTCGCGGTGGTTTTGCAATTTGTTGGCCAATTTCATTGTGTGCTTTATTTTTTTTCCGCTTCTTTGGCTTCCTCGAAACGAGAATGAGTCTTTTATTTGGCGCATCCTTCCTGAGCATTTTCAAGGCCACGTCACAAGGAACCAATTGAGCGTCAACTAAATCCAAATAACCAACGCTACAACTACGAACTATTGAATCGGCCGAACATAGGGGGCCAATACTCATCACCGTTGGTGTTCGATGAACAACGCGTTGCTGATTGAGACCCTCAAAATCGAGACGCACCTCTTCGTCGATATATTTGCATTCGTCGAATTTTGTCGATTGATTTGCTTTACCGAGAAATTTCAAATAATTTCCATCCTTTCTTTTCGAGTTACATTGACATGGTGTTTGACTCGAATTGCCCGGTGTTTGATGACAACATGTTGGCGAAATTGATCCATTACTGGTGCCAACAATTTTTCCCGAATTATTCACAGTTCCACTGTTTAAACTATTTTTTGAATTCACAAAATTTTGCGAAGCTTGAATTGAACTCGTTCCACCATTGGAGCAACTCGAAGAGCCGTTCAGATAAATTGGTTGATTTATTGTGCTGCTTGTGCTGAGACTGTGTAGAAGTGAATTTTGTGATCGTAAGCCAGATGTTCCGTTAGATAATTGTCCATTTTGGATCGATGTGGAAATAATGGAGTGATTTAATTTCTCGTCATTGATTTTATTGTTTTCCAATTCTTTTTTAATGTTTAAATTTGTTTGCTGATCGGCCAATGCTGTTTTCACTCTTTGAATACTTCCGGTATAATCTGTACTTGGATTCGATGTGGCAATTAAAGTTTGCGTTGGTGCAACGGCATTTTTCGGTGATTGAAGAGTTGGTACATCACAGCATCTTGGGGCATTGTGTCTAGGCGGTGTTCGATAAGTGTTATTCACAGCAACTTTCACATTGTCACAAATGACAATTTCCTGTAGATCTCCATAAGGGAATTCATCCTCATAACTTTCCGCGCGTGCCAATGCTGGTGAAAGTGACTCGTTGGCTAGAAATTGATTCGAAATTTGAGACTTTGGACGATTGGAACTCAGTCTCGTTGCTCGGGGTGTCATCGGAGCAATTGGCGGCGGTTGAACTTCTGTCGAATTTCTCGAAGTGCTTTGTGGTTCCTGAAAAGTTTCTTCCTCATCTTCGGAGAAGAGATTTGGATTAAAACTTGGATCTGGACCTAAAACAATAAGAAAAACAAATTTGAATTCGTGAAAAAAAATTTTAAATTAATGTTTAAACAATGTTTTTTTAACAGGATTGTCACAGGTCAGGGAAAAGTCAGAGAAAAAACTAGAAAAATTCTAGTTTTTAGTGTTAAAAATTATTTTTGAATAACTTAAAATTATTTCCCCTTAAAAAATTTCATACTCACAATGAAATTGAAAACAATAATTTGATTGTTTCTTTTTTCTGTAAATGATCAAATTTATTTTACAAATTAAATTCTAGAATAACTCTCTTAAAGTTATTAATTATAAATAAGTTAGAAAAGATTTTTGTTAAAAACAGTTACAATCTTCAGAATCAATAGAATTTCAAAAGGTTTTAAACTAAAATTGTGGAATATTTCATTTAATATGAAGAAATTAATATTTAATTATCTAAAAATTATTCAAGTTTTAAACACTTTAATATAAAATTCTGAAATTAGGTTTCAGAGAAAATTTTTTTCAATTTTTTATAGAAAGAAAGAAAGAATTGTTTAAAACAATTTTATTTAATTTTATTATCAAATTAATGTAAATTTTGTGAAATTTAATTGAGAATAATTAAATTATTAAAAAATTACATTACAGATTTGTAAAGAAAAGGAATTTTTAAAGAATATAAATTTAATAATATTGGTAAATAATTGAATTAAATATCAAGTTAAAAAAATTTTTGTGAAATTGCATTGAAAATAATTAAATTTGTTTGAAAAATTTCGTTAGAAAGATATTAAAAAAAATTTCAAAGAAATTTAATTTTAAAAATTGGTACATAATTATATATTTAAAAAAAAGTTACAATCGAATGTATTCGTGTTTGTTTATGTAAAAGGCAAAACTAAAAGGTATAAATTGCATTAATAATAATTTTATTTCGAAAGAGTTACAATTAAAATTTTTATTAATTATTAGTTAATTTTTATAAGAATTAAATTAAAATTTCTTTCTAAATTGTAGTTTTGAAAAGTTTTAAATTCTTGGAATTTAAAAAAAATTAGGTTTTTAAAATATTTTAATTCTATTTTTTAAACGTAGTTAAATTTTCATAAAAAAGTAATTGAACATTTTTTAAAAAATTGAAATTATTTAAAATTCTATTAAAAATAATTGAATTCTTTAAAAGGATTAAAGGTTTAAATCAAATTTTTGTTTCCAAAATTAAATTTTTTTAATAATATTGAATTCCTCTTGAATTTTTTTACAGGGATCGGGGTAAAGTCAAAATTCTGTCTCAAAATGAGGATAAAATGTATTAAAATTTTAAATTTGATAAAAAAAATTTTGGTTGCTGAAGTCCAGAAAACTTTGAAAATATTAAAAACATTAAATTCTTCTTGAATTTTTTTTCGTTCATCTTATAAATTTTTAAATCACCACGAATTTTAAAACAAAATCTTTAATTTTTCCTATTTTTGACAATAATGGAACTTTAGAGAATGTGAAATTGAATTTATTTTCGATAATTTAATTCTTGAAGAACTTTCATAAAATTATTATTTAGGTATAAATTATTTATCGAATAATTGTACTTAAAAATTTTTAAAAATAATTGAATTTTGAAAGAGTTACGTTTACAATTTTCATAAATAAATTGAATTTCAGAAGGTTTTTTTTTAAATTTTTGAAAATACCAATTTTTGTGAAAAAATGATAATAATGATTCAATGTATGAAAAAAAAGTTCTTGATACATTCCGAATAATTCTACAATTGAAGATATTCGCAAATAAAATCCAATTTCCATCAAGTTCTAAACTTTAAAATGAACGAAATTTATTAATTTTTTTCCTAAATTCAAGTTTAATTGCAATAATATTGCCTCACGTAATAAAAGAATAAATTCAAAGACTCTAGATGTTTAAATTTTGTATTTGCTTTTCACGACAGTCAGTAATTTTTTAAAATATTTACATTGGCAAAAGATGTCGTTCATTTGAATGTTCAAAACTTGATGTGGATCGTATAAATGTATTAAAAACATTTTCTTGTATATTTAATGATTTTGAGGGTGAATTAGAGTATTCTTTAGGGTCAGGGAAAAAGTTAAAATCCTGTCCGGAAATCAGGGAGAAACAAAAATAATTTGTTGAGACAACTCTGTAAATTGTAAGAGAATATTACCTGCAGGTAAATCGTCCCTAAGCTCTGTTATAACTAAAGTCATTTGTCTCGGTTGCAGGTGCAGTAAAGATGTTCTATAAGTCACTTGACCTAAGTTTGCTGGTATCGAATCCGCTAGACCGTGAATTTTGAACTTCGTGCCCCAGATGTTCGATGTTACTTCGACCAACCTTGCATGCTGGAAATAAATCAGGTAGTAAAAGTCTTTATCAATAAAGATAGTAGTTTGAAATTTTTATTTGTTCTCAAAATATCTGAAATACGATAAAAAGAAATGGAAAGGTTCAAAGTTAGAAATTTTGCATTTTATATAAATTTTTTTATAATAATCGTTTTTAGAAAAATTAAGATTTTTAGGGGACAAAAAAGAATTGGGGTTGAAGGTGAAAAGAATATCTTTTCTTTCTTTCGTTGGAAAAAAAGGAATGAAAGAATAAACTTACTTCGGGCAATGTGTCCACATAAGCAAGATCATCAGTTTCCTCGCAATATTTCTCCTCACGTCTTCTTCTGTTTTTCCGTCTATTTCTTGGTGATCCACATAAATCAGCGGTATCTCTCTCTGTGTCCGATCCATCACTGAACACAGGATATTGAGAAGTGTTGTAATCCAAAAAGTGGCAAGAGCCTTGACTTTGAGGATCGAATATCACAAATTCAGGACGAATTTTACTTGTTCTTCTGCCTTTGAGAAGAGGTACTAGGCCGCCTAAATATTCCAAATAGAGAGTATAACAAGGCGCTGGTTCACCCGCGTGTCTCAACATTGTACAATGTAATCTTCCACCTCCTGGTGGTGGCCTTGAAACAAATCTTCTTAAATCTCTCGGCTCAGGAACGCAACATCTGGGAAAATTATCTTTATCAATCACTTTTTTCTCAACTTTTTCAAAAATTCGAAAATGTCTGAATATTCAAATAGAAATACAGGCTTCGCACTCAACTACTAAAAATTACTATTTACTACTTCAGGGTGGCCGCTGGACCGGGAAACCCAGGAAATGACAGTGAATTTTTATCTTGACCGGGCGTTTTGAAATTTTTAGTTAAAAACACTGATTATTTTGTAAGAAAAAATAGAAATATTTATTTTAAGACTTATTAATTATATTTCATTAAAAAAGATTCAACGATCTTTTACAAAATCGATTTATTTTATCAGAGAATTTTATCAAAAGTTCCGGAAGAATATTCAATTTCTAGAATTTATAAGAAAATTATAAATTTTGTTGTCCAACTTAACAGACTTAAGAAAAAAGAAAATATTAAATTTAATTTTAAATTCTTTCCATTTCTAACAATAATTGAACAAAATACAATTTAGGGGCTGGATGCTATAAGGTGTTACGAGCCATGTTAAGTAAATGGCGCGTAACACTTTATAGCATCCAGACCCTCAATTTTAATTAAATTCGTCAAAAAAATTTGAAAGAGAAAAATTTCACATCCTATTAAAATAGTGAAAAATAAATCAATTTATGAATTTTTTTGCAATAATATTATTACAAAACAAATTTGAATTAGTAAAAATTTGAACTAATTAGAACAAAAGTGATATCAATTTTCAAAAAATTAATTTTTAAATAATAAATAGATAAAGTAAATTTATGAAAATAAATAAAATTATTTTTTCTTAGAAAATAAATTTCTGAAAAAAAACCGTATTTTGCATTAATATCAATTCGTTTTTCTACAATAATTTATAAGTAACTATTTCTATATTTTAGAATGTTAAATTATTGTTACTAATATTAATATAGATTGAATTTCAAAAAGTTTCAAATTAAAGTTTTAGAAAAGTTGAAAATTATAAAAAATTTTAATTAAAAATTCTGAATAAGTTAGTTTTTTGGAATATTTTAGTTAGAATTTCTAGAAAATAATTGCATTGAAATCTTGAAAATAATTTTTAATAAGTTACAGTAGCAATTCTTAGAAATTATTCAAATTTACAGATTTGAAATTTATTGAAATTTTAATACTTGAGAAAAAATACATAACATGATCGGGAATGGACCGGGAAATGACCGTGAATTTTTTTTTATGAAAAAAGTGTCCACCCTGTACTATTTACAATTTGCTACCATTTGGATACTTTTTCTTAGATTTATGACACTAAAAGCTACTTTTTTTCTTTTTTTCAGAATTTTCATTAGGTACTATGAAATTCTCTAATGATTGAGAGAAAAATTATTATTCTCAAAAATTTTGATATAATTCTTTGAAACAATTCAATTATTTTCAGAAATTTTAAGAAAATTTTTCGAAATTCAATATTATTTTCAATATCTACTACTCTTAAATAAAATTTTCTAAAAGAATTCAATTTTTTAAAGATAAAAATGTTGATAAACTTCTTCGCAAACATTCAATTATTTTCACAAATAATCAAATTTCCCTCAGGAATTCAATTATTTAAAATACAATTTTCATATAATTTTTCAAAAAAAATCAATTATTTCAAAAAAAATTTTTTGTTAATCTTTCAAAAAATTAAATTTAAAAATTTAAGTTCAGTTATTTACACAATTCAATTATTTTTTAAAAATTTAATAAAATTCTTCGCAGAAATTAAATTTTTTTCACAAATAATACATTTTATTTATTTCGAATTCAATTATTTAAAAAAAATTGTAATAAAATTCTTCGCGGGAATTAAACTATTTTTAAAAATAATAAGATCTTACACTGGAATACAATTATTTTTAACATAATTTTAAATGAATTCCTTGAAAAAATGCAATTGAGGGGCTGGATGCTAAAATGTGTTACGCGCCATGTTATGTAACTGTGATAATATTAAAATTTTTATTATTAAAAATTATCAATAATTTAAGAAAAAAAAATTTTTTATTTGAAAAAATGTTTGATAAAATTCAACTTAAGAATTCAATTATTTTCACAAATTATAAAATTTTTTACAGGAATTCAATTACATATTGGAAAAAATGAAGAGTTTTATTTATTATTTATTTTATTCTAATATAAAATGAAATTGAAAAATGTTGAGAAAAATTATAGTTTTTTAATCGATGGAAGAAAAATTAATTACTTACACTAAATTAGTAGAAGTGCAATTACATTTTTTGTCTTATTTTCTTTTTTTTCTGTACAATTATTTTCTTCTTTTAATTATTTTTCAAATTAATTTTTTTGTTTTCGTTATTTTTTAAATTGAAATTTGAAAAAGAATTGAATTTTGCAAAAATTTAGTCGTCAAATTTAATTTTTCGATAGCACCTTTTTTACTACTTCTTTTCAGCCTTAAAACTACTTTTTGCTCCTTTTTTAAAAATTAATTATTGAGTGTGAAGCCTTAAATCAGAAAAAAAGAGTTTTATAAAAAAAGTGTAATTTAAAAAAAAATGTTTACATACAGAATCGAAAAGGATTTTAAAATCTTTTCGATTTTGAACAAGTGAAGGGGAAAGGATCGTAAAAATGGTTTGGGAGAATATATTTCGTTTTGAAGAGATATTTTTCAAGTGGAAAAGACCATTTTTCAGAATATACCCGAAACGTGACTGCTTCTCGGTCTCGATATATCGATTTACGGATAAGCAGTATTACTGAGAGAGTTGTAACAGTTGAAAGAGAGGTCCTATATGATTTTCTTACCTTATCGTGCTGGCAAAGAGTGCAGCAACTAGAGCTCTCAGTCTTGGTGGTAATGGTAGTTGTTGCACACTGGATTCTTTAGTAAGGGCCGCCCTTACAGCAAGTCTCGACAAAAGTTGAAGAGAGCCAACTCTTCTGAAAATTATGTATTCACTCATTCTTATAACAGTTTTTTTCTTCTCTTCTCTTAACATTTTTTCTTCTTTTTTTTTAAAGCTCTACTATATGTAGAATATTCAAGGACGCGGAAACTTACTCGTTTGCATTAACTACTCGAAAAAAAAACAAAAGACTCTTTGCCTTCCAAAGAACACCAAGAAAAAACTCTTATGAGGCGAGGTGAAAGAACAGAATCTCGACCTTGCGAAAATTTTTTCACTCGAGAGAAATAAAGATTTTTTTCTATTTCAAACAAAGTTGTATTCAAGTTTAGGGAAAATTTATTTTTTTAAATTTGATAATTTCAATTTGTAAACTCAAATTATAAAATTTTAGCTGATCAAGTTTTAAATTTAATTAAAATTCTTTTTTATTAGTGATTCAATAATCGGTTTGTTTTTTAAAGAAATTTACGGTTATGGAGAAAAAAAGACTAAATTATCGATATTCAATATTTAAGGGCAATTTTTACGTAAAGTATGATGTAAAGTAATTGAAATATTACCTAGACACCCACGCAGCATGAACACGTGCACCAGTTGCTACAAAAAGTCTCCTATCATTATGGCCCCAAGTCAAAGCTGATACTTGACACTGAAATCAATATTTAATGGAAGTTGTAGAGAAAATTACAATCATTAAAAACTTTACAGTTTTAAGCCAAAGAAATTGGAAATGTAAACATAGAACTCAATTGAGAATTTCAAAACGAATTTAAATCAAAGTAAAAACTTAAAAACAAAAAATAATTTTAAATATAAAAATATTCAAAATTAAATTAAATTAAATTAAATTTTAATTTAATTTTTTTAATTAAAAAATGAAACTAATAATATAAATAATTATTAATATTGGATTACTTTATTGATATTAGATTTTTTGTGTTTATTTTTCAGAATTTGATCTTCTTCGTTTTCTACAAATTTCGTTGCGATTTCTTTTATAAGAACTGACCTGTGTGTATGGAATAGCTGTTGAATAAACCAGCATTCCTGTATCTGAGTAAAATTTCAAGAGATTCGTATACACCTGTGGACTAGATTGAAAGACATCGGACTCTTTAATCCCGGCAATTGCCAAGAGCTTTCGTGAATTACTCCATTCTGCGTGTAAAGGCGCTTTTAGACTGGTTTTTATCGTAATGGGCGACACATCATCAAAAGATTTTAACATCACAATATTCCCATCAGCAAGGCAAACAGCTAACACGTAACTTCTTTCATCTAAAATTAATATATCGCGTTAGTCGTTCTATTTTTTTTTTATTTTATTTTTCTTATTACTTTCTCATTAAAAATGAGATGGTCTTCAGGCTTCGCATTCATTAGATTTGTGCCACTAATAGCTCATTTTTTCATTTTTTCTTAAGAATTTGCACTATATACTTTAAATTCGCTAATAGTTGAAATAAAAAATTTATTCTCAAAAATTTTTATAAAAACTCTTTCAAATGGTTCAATTATTTTCAAAATTTTTTCGAAATTCAATTATTTTCAAAATCTACTATTTTAATAAAATTTACCAAAAGAATTCAATTAATTAAAAAATTCTTCGCAAACGTAAATTATTTTTATGAATAATAAAATTTTGACACAAGAATTCAATTATTTTCACAAATAATCAAATTTTTCACAGAAATTCAATTAGGTACATTTTTAGATCTACATTAATAAAATTCATCACAAGAATTCAATTATTTTCACAATTAATAAAATTTTTCATGGAAATTCAATTATTTAAATCCATTTTAATAAAATTCATAGCAAGAATTGAATTATTTTCACATAAATATAATAAAATTTTTCACAGGAATTCAATTATTCGAAAGAATTCCTATAAAATTTGTTACTCGAATTCAATTATTTTCACAAGTAATAAAATTCTCCATAGAATTTCAATTATTTAAAATACGATTTTAAAAGGATTCCTCTAAAAATGCAATTATTCTTAAAAATTTTATTCAAACTCTTCGACAAAATTTATTTTTGTAGTTTAATAATTAAATTCTCGTATAAATTTCTAATAAGAATTGGTTTTAAAAGGAATTGCAGGTCAAATTTTAGATAATTGAATATTAGAATATTAGAATATTAGAAGAAGAAAAAAAAAGAAGCTTAGAATTATGAATTTTTAGAAATAATTACATTTTAAAAGATTTTTAAATTGAAATCTTTGAAAATTTTAACTAGCGTAAAATTAATAACTATTTAAATGTTTACCTATTTTGAAATACTATTAAAGTTTTGAATAATTTTATTTAAAAATTTTAACAAAGAAATGATTGAATTTTGGAAGAATTACAGTTGTAATTTTTAAGAATCTAGTTAAAATTCAAAAAGGTTTTAAATTGAAATCATTTAAAATATTTGAATTCCAGAGAAAAAATAAACAAGTATTTAAATACTAATTTAACAAAAATTATTTAAGTTTTGAATGTAATTTAGTTTGGTTATGAAAAAATAAGTGTTTTGAAAAATTGTAATTAGGGAGTAATTTTCGCTAATAATTTTAAAAGATTAAATTAAATTTACAATTATTTGGAAATTCATACAAATTTAATTGTAATAAATTTTGTATTTTAAAGAATTTAATTTTTTTACTTTTAAAAACTATTTTTTTAATAAAATCGTATTTTTTAAGAGTTTTAAATTAATATGCAGAAAATAATTTAATTTTGCAAAAGTTTAGAATTGAAGTTATTATCAGAATAAGAAAAAAGTAAATATTTTTGATGATTATTAAGAAAAAATCAGGGAAATAAAATACAGAATGAAATTTTTGTGATTTTTGTGAATCATCTAAAACGAGTTTTTTTTAGTTACAGCTATATTGCGACTACTTTTTTAAAATTATTTATTGACTGCGAAGCCTGTTTTTTGTATTTGTGCGTTTTTTTATTTTAGATTTTATATTCGAAAAAATACCTAACTTTTAGTATTTTGAAATGTACAGTAAATTTTACTGAATTTTTACTTTCATGAATTGGAAATTTTTTCTTCTAAATAGTTGATTGTAATCGTTATAAATTTCACTAACGTGAATTTTCATAGAGTAATTATTATACGTATTTATTTTTCCCATTAATTAATTTTATTTCTTCTCTCCCATTCTTTTCACTCATGAATTATAGATTTTCGTGCTTGTAAAATTTGAAAGCACTAATCAATCAAAATAAACGCTTGTGTTATAGGAATAAAATTTTGTATATATATAAATTTTCGAACGTTAATAATTTCTGTCAATACGTGAATAAATCATTTTTTTAGATGAGAAAGAATGTAGTCGGGCATTTTTTTTCATATGACGTTTTTATTACTCGAGAAAATAAAGATAAGCGCATATAACATTGGAGAATAGTTAATTTATTATCAAAAGTTTATAGTTAGGGGAAAAAAAAAATATTTTTTTCGTGCAAAGTTTGAATGATGAACCGCATGGTGTGAGTAATAGCCCGCTGACAGCTTCAAAGTTTTAAGGTCGATTAGTTCACCTCCATTTACTACTTAGAGAAAATCTTCAAACCTAATTAAATGATAGGCCTCTATTTTGCAAGCAAGAAATGTGCCTTACGTGTTAATAAAAGTTTTCTATATTTATATTTCAAAAACTTTTTACTATTATTTCTTTTACTAAAATTAGATTTATTTTTGAAATAATTTATTTTAATTAATAATTAACTTTTTTTATTATATCTTTTAAGAAATAGGTCGCCATTACTCCATATTTGCGTTTCAGACAAAAAAAAATGATTTATCTTTTTTTTTAATTTACAGTATAAGTAAATTTTTTGATTTAATAATTTTAGATTACTTGAATTTTTAATTACTTCTAGAAGTGTCTGTAAAATTTTAATCTATTTTTAAGGGAAAATTTCTTTCATATACTCTAAGAACTTTAGGGTTTGAAATATTAATATTTTTATGCACTTACCAGGACCGTCGTCTTCACCTTCTTCCATTTTAAATTTTTCAGCGCTCCATGCCATGGATGTCACACCAGCTCCTAATTGAACTTCGGAGACCATAGCACCATGCACGTCCATTACTATCAATTGCCCCGCTGTTGTTCCAAAATAGACCTGGTAATATTTTTGAAATATTAATTTTTTAATCTTTTTTTTTTCTTTTTATAATAATTAAAATTTAGGTCTTAAATTAAAATATTGTATTATTGTTATTTTTTATTTATTTCTAATTATTTATCAAATTGAATTACCTATTTAATGAACTAAAAAACTGTTAAAACACTTTTCTAATTTTCTTTTATGTTTCTCAATTAAGTTTCTCCCAATGTAAAAATATTATTGGAAAAGTTTTTAAACCACAAAAACATAGAATTATAGGAAAAGTTTTATAGTTCGTTTATTGTACCTACAGTTTTTTTTATTCGGAAAAAAAGATTATATTTTATTTCTTTCTAAAGAAATTTTGATTAATGAATCTATAATAAAATTTCCGTAAAGATATGTACATATATCAATGAATAGAATTCTATTAAATGATTATGAAATTTATTGTATAAATAATGGCAAGTCATAATATTTTGGTCTAGGGAACCAAAAAAAGAAAGAAAGAAAAAACACGATGTAAACAATATTTACAGTTGACTGTACTTCTCGTATTGTTCAAATAAAAGAATGAGGGTTTTAATCGTATTACGAAAGTCATAAAATTTACTACAAGAGAAATAGTACTAGAATGACTTTTGAAATATTTTACGCGAAACATTAATGGAATGATCAATTGTAAAACATTAAAGTGTAATATCATTGTGATATGAAACGATCTATTCTCAATGACCCCTATTTATCTAGAATGCAGCACAAATGATCCATTATTTTCATTAAAATAGCCAAAGTTCCATTTAAATTCGATTTAATTTCATATGTAAATCAATTTTACGTCTATTTGAATGAAACGTTTATTTGTGCGCGAAAATATTGTAGGTTTCGTCTATTTTTATTCATTCAAAGTTAAGTTTTTTGAAAATTTATTTCATGTTTAGAAATAAAGAAATATATTTCATTCCCAAAAATTTTCTGATTCGCAGAAATATTTTTAAAAATGTCTTTCTTTGAATCAAGAAATGAAATTCAAGATTCAAATCAAGATTTAATAGTAATTTCAAATTTTTGCTAATTCAGATTTATATTTAGATTCAAATTTATAATTTACTTATTCTTTTATACTTTAAATTTTGAAATTATAAGTATTATTTTCCATAATTTTGTGTGAATAGGAGGATTTTTTTAATTTTAGAAGATGATATTTTTGTTAAAAAAAATTTATCCCAATTTTTTTTACTTTTATAAATTCGAATTTAAAATAATTTAATTATTGCACAGAATTGTATTAAAAGTTTTGATAAAAATGAATTGTTTTGAAGAAATTTATGAAAAACATTTGAAAATACATAATTAAATTCTTTCAAGGAATTTTATTAAAATTCTTTACTGAAATTAATTGAATTCTTCTAAAGAATTTTATCTTTTTGAAAATTATTGAATTCTTTTGAAGAATTTTAATAATTATGCCAATAATTGAATTCTTGCGATGAATTTTATTAAAATTTGCAAAATTAATTGAATTTTATCAAAAGAAGTTTTATTGAATTTTATAAAAAATAATTGAATTCTACCCAAGAGTTTTATAACCTATAAAAATAATTCAATTTTAGAGACGAATTTCATTAAAATTTTTGGAAACTATTGAATTGTTTCAAAGAATTTCATTAAAAATTTTGAAAATAATTAAATTCTGTCGAGAAATTCAATTAAAAATGAATTGAAAATAATTAAATTCTAATAAACAAATTTTATGAATATTTATGGAAATAATTGAATTGTTTCAAGGAATATTATTCATATATTTGAAAATATATTAATAATAATAATTAATTAGTTAATAAGTAAATTTTTAAAAAATTTTGAATCTGAAATCATACAAAAATTAACGTTGATAAATAAAATATTTTAAATTTGCATAATAAGAATAAATTAAATACCGCGTTTCGCGGGCGTATAATAATAATAACGAAATTAATAAATGTTAAATAATATATTTAAATATAACAGAAATTATAAATTTTATAAAAATGACAAAAGTTGAACAGGGAATAGAATTCATGTTATCAGAGGGAAAAAATATGGATATAAAAATTGTTTAATACATAAAAGTGAGAATCATTATTTATTAAACTACTATGTGTGTTAAGAATATTAATGATTAATTTGTTATTCTGCTTTCAGATGAATTTTACCTGTTGATCATCAGGTGTCCAAATTCCGCAAGTTATAATCGCTTTGTCATTTAGCATTGATGACCAGTACCTTTGACCAGCGACGCTTCCCACCAAAACAAACCCGTCCTGAAAAAAAAAATATGAACATATTTTTTTTATCTGGAAAAAATGGAGAAAAGTTTTTAAAGTTTCAAAAACTGTAAGTTGATGTTTTATTTACAGAAATCTGAATTCTATTTTTTAAAACTCTTGAATATTATATAATTTTGTCAATATGTTTTGATATTTTATGGTTTCGATTAATATTTTAATAATATGAAATATGAACAATATTTTATGTATGATATTAATAATATTTAAATATATAAAATTAATAATTCTTAAATAATATTTAAAAATTGTCGAGATTCTTGAATTTACTTTTCTGTAATTTCTGGTCTTTTTTGCTCTTTATACTCAAGTCTGATAACTTGGTTTTTCGTGTATTTAATTAAAAAATTAATTTTTCAAGTGGAATATATGTAAAGATAAAAAAGAAATCATAGCGAAGCATGAAAAACTTTCGAACGCTTGAAAAAACTTTGAAAACGTCAAAGCAAAAAGCTTTTTTTCCAACTTTAAGTAGTAGAAGAGTTTATAATCAGACGTGAATGTGGCACCAGCTCGTAAAACAGAAAGAGCATTTCTCTTTAACTGCTAGACTTTTAAATGTTTCTTTTTCTTCTTGTTCTTCTTCTTTTCTCAGATACTCTTAAAAACTTTCTTTTATTTGTCAGGTTTATTTTATTACTTTGTGGTAAATAAATTCCATGTTATATGTTGTACAGTTTAAATTAATTGCTTTTCTGTTTTCTTTACAGGAAAATCTGTAATTATTCTTTCAATACTATAGTTGTTGAAATGGGATTTTACTTTTAAAAAAATGGAAAAATGCCACGCAACGGAAAAATTAAGGTGAATTGGATTTACTTTGCAAACATTTAGGTATTTATAATTACTTTATTACCTGAACAATTTACATTTATTTTCGTTTACTTAATTTTCTGTTTTTATTTACTTTGAATTGGAAAAAATTTCTTCTCGTGAAATCTAATTTAACACGCTTTTGTGTAACAGACAAGCTTTCTAATTAATTGCGAGGGATAATTTAATTTGAAAAACACTTTTGCAATATAATGTGAAACACAAAAGGAACAAAAAGAAACTTTAGTTTGAATGTTAAATTAAACGAGAGTCAGATAAATTAGAAATAATGAGAAAAATTTCACCACTGAAACAAAATAGTTTTTCAAAATTAATTTTTCTCTTTTTCAAATAAATTATTTATGGATCGTCATAGTGAATAGGGTTAATAAAAAATAATCAACTATTCGAAGTATTTTTCGAATATATGTAAAGAATTTGGTTGATTTGAAAAGAATTCGAGAATGAAAGAATAAAAACAGATAGGACTCTGAATTCTAAAGTGTACCTCGAGTCCACACTTGAAAAATGCAAGAGTACTGGCAATGTGTAATTCGATATTAAGTTTCAGGCACTTGAAAATGTCAATTTCGAGGAGCCTTTTGAGAATCATTCTCTACTGACAATAATGCCGGGGGTTCTTCATTTAATGAACATATCAGATTACTTCAAAAAGTCTCCTTTTTTCCCTCAATTGATAAATTCCAATCAAATTGGAAAATTTTTCCAATTAAAATATTTTATTTTAAAAAAATTGTTAAAGAATATCTAATTTGAATTTGATTCAATAATCAAATTCGAAAAATCTCTTATTTAAGGAGATAGAATTTTGATTTTTATATAAATAACTTCGATAACTGAATTTCAAATGTGACAAATGTCGTATAAGTTTCAATAAATTTTGAAATTGTCGAAGAATGAGAATAAGAAGAAGAAAAAAAGAAGAATAACAAAAACCAAATGGTTCGCGCATATCTAAGTAGTGTCAATTTCAAATGCTGGACAAAGTCCAAATTCCAGAAAGGAAGACAATCAATTTTCTTGCTATTCGGATATCTGAGCAGTTTAAAAGTTTTATTCGTTTCGGAATTCAACTCTTGTTTCGAATACAAGAACCAACAAGTTTCTCTTTCTCATCATCAATTTCATTTAAAACCTAACTTCGTGTTTGTTTTCTAGTTAAATTAAATAATAGTTAGTTACAAAAAAAATTCGATTCGATAAATTTTACAAGGCTGAATTTTTTTTTGTAATTATTTTTGTTAAAGTGGTTTAAAATATTATACAGTAACAAGCTTCGGATAGTATCTAAGACTTCCCAGTAAAAAAAAACTAATTCAAATGAATTGAAACGAATTAACATTTTTGGTAGGCTCCAATTCGTATTTGTCACAAAGCGGGATTCACTCAAGCTCTTTGTATATTCAATTGAATTTAATTCAATATGTACCAATTTGTCCAAACGAATTCGCATTCGAAAGAAATGGCCAAGGAATGCATTAAATTCGTGCTAACGAATTGAAAAAAATTAAAGGCTCAAAACTTGTCCAGTGAATTGGTACGGATAGAAGGTTCGGAAGTTCAATACAGTTTCACGAATTCAGGAAAATTGCAACATAGCTCCAATTCGTATTTGTCACAAAGCGGGATTCACGAAAGCTCTTTGTGAATTCTTTTTAATTCATTTCAATTAGTTTTCGTTTACTGGGTTATTCGATTTTTCGACTATTTTTAAAAAATGCGATTTTTTATGACTTATTTTGATAAAATGCGACTTTTTTTTATTTTCTTTCACATGTGGTAATAAAACACCAATTTTTGGTATAAAGTGCAACTTATTTCGATTATAGTTTTTTGCAACTCTTTAGCTCATAAAATAGACTTTTGTCCTCACGGTAAAAAATAAAATTGTCAAATTACAACATTGGGATTAAGTTAAAATTAATTTTGGATAATTATACTTTGGTGATTAAAGGTGCAAAAATAAATAAATAGCTGAAACTCGATTAAACTAAAAAATTACTTTTATTTTGAGAATTTGTTTCGAGAATTATGCTTGTGCTCTGGACGGAAGCGCAAAAGGTTCTGACTAATCTATGCAATTGAGAAAAGGGACTTGTAGAGGTAAAAATGTGACTCACCCTGTACTACCTACGTACAGAGCCCAAAAAGTTTGCAAGTCTCAACGTGCAACGAGTTGAACAACAAGGTAATAAAAAAAAGGGTCTCAGGTATTTACCTGAAAGCGAAAAAGTGTACAAAACTGTTAAAAGTAAGAAACTTAGAAAAGTTTAGAATATCCCGTCCAGAATACAAAAATCACAAAAAATATTAATTTATTATAAACAACAAACATAAAACCTAATGTGTATACATTAATTTGTATGTGTGTGTGTTGTGTATTTGTTTATGAACTATGTTATATATTTATATGCATATATATATATATATATATATATATATATATATATATATATATATATATATATATTATATATTTATAGAATCAATTTAAATTTAACAAAAAATATTAAATTTCATAAATAAATAAACAAATTGTTTTTAATTTTTATGTATGTGTAAGTGTGGGTATGTGAAAACAGTAGCCACAATACTAAATCTTTACTCAGTTCATTTTAATATTTAAAAACGGCTCAGATTCAAAACCCCTTTTGTCTGATTTGACAATTTTTTTTACAGTGCCACATGTTAGAAAAATCATAAAAGTTTGTAAATTTTATTCAAAGTGGTTGAAAAAATATCCAATTTCTAGAAATGGGAGAAAAATTATGATTTTTGGTGTCTTTTGAAAATACTGAAAACCTTAAACTGTCCTTAGAATTTTTTCAACTTAAAATTTTTTAAAAATTACGAAGAGTTACAATTTACAATTCTTATTAAAAAACTGAATATTTATGTAAATATTAATTAAGCTCTCGAATAACATTAAGAAAATTATTAAATATAATTGATTTAGAGAAGAGTTTTAGTTAATAATTCTAGAAAATAAATGATTATTGGAAGAGTTGTAGTAAAAAATTTCAGATTTATATTTCAAAAGGTCATTTAATTAACTTTTAAAAGGTTTCAAATTTTGATTTTTGAGTAGGTATTATTAATTAAAAGTTCTAAAGAACTTAGTTTTTTGAAAAATTTTAATTAAAAACATTTTTGAATATATATTATTTAAATAAAAAACTGTCGAATTATCGAAATTTTGTAATAATGAATTAAAAACTATTGAATTTTAGACCAATTTAAAGTTTTGAAAACTCTGAAGAACTTAATGTTAGAAAAATTTCAATTTTTTAAGTTTTTTTTTAATATTTGAATTCTCGAATAACTTTATGAAAATAGAATTATTTATTTCGAAGGAGAATTTTAGTTCAAAATTCTAGAAAATAATTGAATGTTAAAACAATTATAGTAAAAAATAATTTAAATAATTAAATTACCAAAGGTTTTCAATTAAAATTTTTGAAAATTTAAATTTTAAGTAATTTTAATTCAAAATTCCAAAGAACTTAATTTTTTGAAGAATTTTAATTCAAATTTTTTCTTTTAAAATAGAATTTTTTAATATTGGTATATTATTTAATTTAAAAACTTTGGAATAATCAAAATTTCGTAATTAGCGAAGAGATTTTAATTAAAAATTCTTGAAAGTAATTGGATTTTAGAGAAGTTATAGTAGCAACTTTTAGAAAAAATTAAATAGGTAGCAGAAGGTTTAAAATTTTCAAGATATTGAAAACCACAATATTGATATGCCTATTTAATAATAATATTTAAATGCTTGTTTGGAAAAATGATTAAATTTTAGAATAAATGTAGCTGAAAATTTTACTAAATAATTGCATTTCAAAATAAGAATTACAGTTCCAGTTTTTAAAACTAATCAAATTTTTGTTACTGAAATAGTTTTTTTTGTTATATGAAATTTTATCTTAATTTTTAAAATTAGGAAGTACAGTGCCGCTCAATAACTTTTGCCCACCCTACAGCGATTGAGAGCTGTACAAAAAGTTTTGTATTTTATTTATTATTAAAGATAAAAAGCTCAAAAAGGTCTCTTTTTGAAGCTCTTTTCCTGAGCTTTAACACTGTATAAAATAAAAATTAAAAAAATTAATTTGTTAATGTTTAAAATATGTTATTGCAACATAAAATTTTTCGTTTTTTTTGTTTTTTTTAAAGTGATACAGTTTGTTAGGAAATGGTCGCATTTTAATCCCACATATATTTTCTGAAAGCTAGTTTTATCACCTTTAAAATGCATTTTTTAAAAATTTTATACGATAATTTTTAAGAAAAATATGATTTTTTGTTTAAAAAAATAGCCATTTTTTTCAATTGTTGATAACTCAAAAACGGTTACTTTAGGAAAAAATTTTTAAGAACATAAATTATTCCTTTTTATATGCAGAATTAGAAAAAAAATATTAAAAATTTTTTTTTCAAAAAAATTTTTTTGACTTTTTTTGAAAAAATTTTTTTTTTTCAATTGTCGATAACTCAAAAACGGTTACTTTAGGAAAAAAATTTTTAAGAACATAAATTGTTCCTTTTTATGTGCAGAATTAGAAAAAAAATATTAAAAATTTTTTTGAAAAAAAATTTTTTTGACTTTTTTTTTGAAAAAATTTTTTTTTTCATTTTTTATATTTTTTAGTTTTAATTGTAGAAACGCGCTTTTTACATTCATTACAACAAGCAAGAAAATTTTTCATCGTATTTATTTAATTTTTTTCAATAATTTTAACTCACCAATCATTTAAATAACTTTTGATATAATACTTATTTATTATATTGTTTGTAAACGGATTAAAGGTTCTTAATTACTTCGACGATTGTCATCATAATGTCAGTCTTGTGACAATTGTCATAAATATCGGAAGTCTTTCTCTATATATTTGAAAATACGTATATTTAATTGTATTTCAGAAGAAAATATTTTTTATACATGCAAAGTAAAAATAAAAATAATTTAATTTTCTATAACAATTTTAAACGTGATTTTTTAAAAAATAAATAACATTATTAACGAACTTCAATTATATAAAATAAAACAAGTGCCTGAAAACAATTGTCAACACTTTCACGTTTCATATAGAAATAAATAAAAAATAAATAAAAAATAAATAAAAAATGAAAAAAAAAAATTTTTTCAAAAAAAGTCAAAAAAATTTTTTTTCAAAAAAATTTTTAATATTTTTTTTCTAATTTTGCACATAAAAAGGAACAATTTATGTTCTTAAAAATTTTTTTCCTAAAGTAACCGGTTTTGAGTTATCGACAATTGAAAAAAACATTTTTTTTCAAAAAAAGTCAAAAAAATTTTTTTGAAAAAAAAATTTTTAATATTTTTTTTCTAATTCTGCATATAAAAAGGAATAATTTATGTTCTTAAAAATTTTTTCCTAAAGTAACCGTTTTTGAGTTATCGACAATTGAAAAAAATGGCTATTTTTTTAAACAAAAAATCATATTTTTCTTAAAAATTATCGTATAAAATTTTTAAAAAATGCATTTTAAAGGTGATAAAACTAGCTTTCAGAAAATATATGTGGGATTAAAATGCGACCATTTCCTAACAAACTGTATCACTTTAAAAAAAACAAAAAAAAAAAACGAAAAATTTTATGTTGCAATAACATTTTTTAAACATTAACAAATTAATTTTTTTAATTTTTATTTTATACAGTGTTAAAGCTCAGGAAAAGAGCTTTAAAAAGAGACCTTTTTGAGCTTTTTATCTTTAATAATAAACAAAATACAAAACTTTTTGTACAGTTCTCAATCGCTGTAGGGTGGGCAAAAGTTATTGAGCGGCACTGTATATTTTTTTTTAATATCAAAAACTTATTTGGAAAAAATTGAATTTTACAAAAATTAGGTTTGAAGTTATTATTAGGATATTGGAAACTGATAAAAATTTCTCTAAGAATCAAAGAAAAGTCAGGAAAATAGAAAATAAAATTTTTATTACAACTCTAAATAAAATAAATCACTTTTTCGATTTTTTTTTGTATTTTTAATCCACTACAGTTTTTTTACGCTTTGATGTCGATCCGAGGCCTATTGGCAGTTAAAATTGTTATTTGGTAATAATAAAAATATGGGCACAAATTGCAAAATAATAATTTTTTAAATTTTGTAAAAAATAAATACATGTGAAGTATAAAAACAGTTTTAATATGAATTGAAAAGGAAACTATTTACCCGATAACAAATAAGTGCCATTCTTCCATCATGCGACCAAGAAAAATGAGTGACAGGTGTGCTTCTGTCATTTATTAATTCAATGCTCCATCTTCCCTCGTATTTGATCCATACAAAAATTACTCCCGAACTGTCGCACGAAGCCAATTTTTGATAGGGTTCATTCCATTTCACCAGTATCACCTGCAACAAATTCAAATAAATCCAATTTATTTCAATATTCTAACGCAACAGAAAAAAAATCGATATTTTATTTCACTCGCTGCGCTGGAATATAAATTTCAATTTTCGAATTTGATTATTTAATCAATACTGCACTGAAAAAAAATTTATATTTACTTGATGCAAATAAATCATATTTAAACCAATAATTTCAATATTTGAAGTAAATACAATTTAATTGACTCAAATAGAAATTATTTGATTGAAGTAAATATTTATTTGTTAATAGACAAGTAATCGTTTATCTGAAACAAATAAATTTTTTTCAGTGTATAAATTCAGTTTTCAATTTTTTGTAAAAATTAAATTATTAAGAGAAACTTAAATGCATTAAAATTTCATTTTGAAAATTTGACTAAATCTCGAATTTGATTAAATCGAAATTCAGTTAAATGGAAATTATGGTAAATTCACTTACATTGAAATTCAATTTAGTGGGTAAATTTGACTAAATCGAAATATGATTAAGGTGGGAGGGAAGAAATGTGGAGAAAAAATCTCTGAATTGAAAATTATAATTTTAAAATGATAAATTGTAATAAATTAACAGTCAGATATTACACGCTGCCTTTAATTTTCCATTCATTCGTTTTCAATGGTACTAGAATTTATCATTAAATCTAAATATGGAAATTAACAAGGAAATCAAATTAAGTGGATTAGTCCAAATTAATTGTAATATCAAAACTATGTTACAATCTGAATGAAGTTATCTTTAATAGTAAATTAAATGTCAAATTATAAAAGAAAACAAAAAGTAATTAATTTACTTGACGAATTCAATTAAGTGGATATACGTTGTGAAATTTATTTTTTGACTGACAATATAATATTTAGTTTCCCGCGGGTATAATTCTCAAGATCAACTTGTTCTCCTAGACGTCAGGTATTAATTAAGCTCCGACAGACAAGATTTCTAAAGAGGTTTTTCAGGATATTCAATTCCAGTTTTCCTCTAAAGAATATGAAAAAATTCTCTCGCAGTACTTTATTTTCCAAGTTCCGGTGCAGACGACAAGGAATGCTTTCAAAAAAAAAAAATTTTTTTTTAAATGCAAACAAACAAAGTTCATCGTGCTTCTTACAAAATATAGTCTATCCCCGAGTATATGGGAGAATATAAATTATAAATCCTTATTTCTTTGTCGATATTATCGCTGCATTTTAACCGTGGAAAAGCGCTCTAAGATAACTTTTCATTCATGTTCAACGAAGGTTCTCTTTTTACAAAAGTATACAACTTTATAATACAAGATGAGGAGAAATTATAATTGTACAAGTTTATATTTAGTTCCTCGCAAATTATATTTTGTTTCCCTCAGTCAGCGTAACTTTTGAGATTTCACTTTGTCACTTTTGTTTATACGTGAATTTATTTTCATCTCAGAAATTCATCAGAAGACCAACATTTTTCTTTTGAATAAAAATTAAATGAGTTGGAATTCTTTTCTAAATTGAATATTGTTCAATATAGTGTAAAATTAAAACTATTTTTCTAATAGTATAATTAAAACCATTTCGAATTTTTTTCTGAATAGAATATTCAATTGTGAATACACAATTAAAACTATTTTTTAGTTTCCAGACTCAACAAAGAAAACCGCAAAAGTCATTTTCACATAAAAATTGATAGTGAAAATAACCCTTATCTTTTTCAGAGTTCAGCCTTTTTCAAAATTCACGATACAATTGCATAATTAAAATTATTTTTTCAATATTTTCTGAAAAAATAATACTTTTGTGAAATTTTTGCACAAATTTTTTCTTTTGGAAATATTAATTTTATTTTCAAGTGTGAATATAATCAGTTAATTTAAAGGAAGAAACATAATTAATATTCTAAAGAACATAGTTTTTTTTATAAATTTTCATTTAAATTTCTTTTCAAAAATTAGTTGGATTTTTTTATTAATATTTAATAAGTTAAAAAAAGAAAAACTTAAAAGTAGAAAAAAAAATTAAAGAAAAGTTAAAAAAATTTAAAAACTTTCGAATAATTAAAATTTTGTGATAGTGAATTAATAATGATTTAATTTTAGACGAATCTTAAGTAAATTTTTTTTTTTTTTTATATAAATAATTAAGTTCTGGAATAACTTTATAAAAAGTAATAAAATAATTAATTTAGAGAAGAATTTTAGTTCAAAATTCTATAAAATAATTAAATATTGAAAGAGTTATATGTAGTAAAAAATATTTTAAACAATTTCAAAAGTGTTTCAAAATAAAATTTTTGAATATTTGAATTTGAGTAAATTTGAAGATAAATTCTAATATTTATAATCTCTTTGAGTAATTTTGATAAAATTCTCTAAAAACTTAATTTTTTGAAAGATATTAGTTAAAATTTATTTTAAATTAATTGATTTTTTAGTTATATATATTATTAAATTGAAAAAACTTTTGAAAAATCGAAATTTTATTATATTGAATCCAAGTAATTGAATTTTAGATGAATATTCTCCTTTTTTCTAAAATACTTGAACTCTTGATGAATTTTCCTAAAACTATTAAAAACAATATTAAAATTAAAAATAATAATTAAAAATAAATTATCTAAATAATTAATTTAAAGAAGAACACTGTGTGACAAAATAAAAAAAGTTGCCAGCACTTTTATAGAGACCTAGTACAAGTCGTAGGTCTAGTAAAACTATGAACAATGATGTGTGAGAAATTCCCCCAACACCCCCAAAATTTAATTTTAGGGGCAAAAAACCGTTTTTTGTGTTTTTATGTAGAGAATTATACGTAACTTCCGTAATTTTCAACCGATTTTCAAAATTGTTCTTTTGTTTGAAAGGGGAAAAGCACACCTTTTCAACCGTGTCTTGCTCGTTTAGTCAAAATAAAAATTGACAAAACCGCGGTTGAAAATATTTGCGATTTAACGATTTTCATTACATTTTTTCAACTTTAACGAGCTTTTTAGAATAATATTCGAATTTACACATTTTTTTCATGATAATTTCTTAAAAGTATACTTAATTCTGCGTAAAATGAGCATTTTTTGAAAAAAATGTAATACAAATTGAAGGAGATACGTGAATTTTAAGATTTTAAAATTTTTTCGCTAAATTTACAAATATTTCAATTTTGTTGTGGAATTTACATCAGGGCACTTTAAATTTTGTATTCACTAAATTTAATTAATTAACTGAAACGGCATGCATGTCAAACTTGTTTTTGATAGATTTAAATAAAGACAGAGTCCGTATTTAGAGGGGGTCCGGTTAAATTTTAACTTTTCTATAATTTATATTGTTTAAGTGTGTCAATGTTTTTCAAACATTATTTAGGATTCAAATCTATTCTATAATCTTCAAATAAAGAATAACAGATAATTATTTGACAATTTATATAAGAATGCCTTAAAATTTCGTAAAATATAAATTTGAACTTCTACCACATTTTTTAATTATTTTTTATTGTCGAACTTTTCATATGCTTTTTTCGCAATACTGAACAATTTTATTAATTTTGATAACATAAAATAGATTTGAATCCTAAATAATGTTTGAAAAACATTGACACACTTAAACAATATAAATTATAGAAAAGTTAAAATTTAACCGGACCCCCTCTAAATACGGATTTTGTCTTTATTTAAATCTATCAAAAACAAGTTTGACATGCATGCCGTTTCAGTTAATTAATTAAATTTAGTGAATACAAAATTTAAAGTGCCCTGATGTAAATTCCACAACAAAATTGAAATATTTGTAAATTTAGCGAAAAAATTTTAAAATCTTAAAATTCACGTATCTCCTTCAATTTGTATTACATTTTTTTCAAAAAATGCTCATTTTACGCAGAATTAAGTATACTTTTAAGAAATTATCATGAAAAAAATGTGTAAATTCGAATATTATTCTAAAAAGCTCGTTAAAGTTGAAAAAATGTAATGAAAATCGTTAAATCGCAAATATTTTCAACCGCGGTTTTGTCAATTTTTATTTTGACTAAACGAGCAATACACGGTTGAAAAGGTGTGCTTTTCCCCTTTCAAACAAAAGAACAATTTTGAAAATCAGTTGAAAATTACGGAAGTTACGTATAATTCTCTACATAAAAACACAAAAAACGGTTTCTTGCCCCTAAAATTAAATTTTGGGGGTGTTTGGGAAATTTCAAACATACTACTTTTTTCAGTTTTTCAACACGAACAAGTTAGGATAGGTCCGATTTAAAGTGCCATTTTACTGTCACACAGTGGAATTTTAGTTGAAAATTCTAGAAAATAATTCAATTTTGGAGATATTACAATAGCAATTTTTAGAAATATTTTAATTTCAGAAGGCCTGACCTCGAAATTTAAAATCCTTTTAAATTTCTAGTAATATTATTATTTATTTTATTATTTTATTTCATTATTATTTTTATTATTCTAGTAATATTTAATAATATCTATTACCTATTTAAATACTTATTTTAAACAATTATTGTTAAATTTTTCAATAAATTTAGTTAAAAATTCTAGAAAATAATTAAATTTTAGAAAAGTTACAGTTGTAATTTTTAGAATTAATTAAATTTTTGTTTTTGAAGTAAATTTTATGTTATACAAAATTTTGCTGTAATTTTTAAAATTTATTGTCTTGTTTGAAGAAGAATGTTAAAAAAATTTAAAAATATTATTTGAAAATAATTGAATATAATATTAGATCTTTTTTTTTTTTTTTGCTCAAATTTGTTCATCTTGAACAATGTTATTTCTAAGTGTGATTAATATAATGGAAAAATGCTTCTAAAGTCAATAATGAAAAAAAATCGGAAAAATGTTTAAAAACATAAAAAAAAATAGTTTGAAATTAATTGAATATAATATTAATTAAAACTATTTGGAATTTTATTTTCTGTGATTGGAATATTGTTCAATTGTGAATAATTAAAACTATTTTTTTTAATTCTATAATTAAAAAAAAGTTTTCTGCAATCTTTGACAAAATTTTTTCTTGTTGAACTATTTTATTTCCAAGTGTGAATATAGTTGGTTAATTTAATGGAAAAAGTGCTTTTAAAGTCAATAATGCAATTTTTTTGTGAAAGGTCACTTTTTTAGGATGTATATCTTTAAATCTTCTTTATCAGCACTTCTAAAAGAGTTCATATCAAAAGAAAGTAGAACGTCAAGTTAATACTGCTTGACTGAATCTGTCACGTCCTATTTCTGTTTTAGATATAGTTACTACTTGCACTTACATGATCAAAGTAACAGGAAATGTGGACTTTTTAACCAAGAAAAAAAGGAATTCTCATTGTCATTTGTTTTTGGTCAAAATAAAAATGGAGACGGAAAGTTGTGTCAAGCAGAATAATTGGTGAGTTTTGAAAATTCCTTTTTTTTTTTAATATTCCTAGCATATTAATTTATTATTTTGAAGAAATACGTAATAATGTGGAAACATATTTCTTAAATTGACAAAATTCCTTTTTTTCTTTTTTTTTTCCTTTTTTTTTAATATTCCTAGCATATTAATTTATTATTTTGAAGAAATACGTAACAATGTGGAAACATATTTCTTAAATTGACAAAAATGAAAGAAAAGTTCTACTTTTTAAAAATAAATTTGACTTGGTTTGTATTTATTTTTACATTATCGACTCTCGAGGAGAAAGAGCAAATAGCGTATATACTCGATTAAGAAGTTGTGAATTATTTATCAGATTTTCAGAATTGCAAAATTTAGGTACGTGTTTTAAAAAAAGAAATTAGAAGCGAATATAGTGAATATTTTAATATCAAACAGTTTTCTTAAACTTCCAATGAATTTACTTTTGAAAGTAAGTTAACGTTTTTGTTTCCAATTTTAAACACGAATTCGTCGCTATAATATTGTGGGAAAATTAAATTTCAAATTTTACCAAGACGGTGAAATATGCAGGAAATTAATGCATTTAAATGACGTAATGTAAATGCAATTTTCTATCTAATCAAGTTTAATTTCTGAAAAAAAATTTTCTCATAAAATTTCATTTCTAAAAATTTATAGTTTGATAAAGTTCAATTTCTAACCTCTTTTTTTCTAAAAAAAATTCAATTTCTACTAATGAATCTAAATTTTGCAAAAAAATTCAATTTTCTTTTCTTTATTTGAATAAAATTATACAGCCAGAGTTTAATTTGAAGTTATAGAAATCGTCTTTTCTCATTCGCATGCATCGAATTTTTTAAAAATTTTCATTTTCTAATCCATTTAAATTTCTACCAATGAATTTAAAAATTCCTGATGAAAAATTCAATCTTCAAATATGGAAATCAGTTTTTGACTTTCGCAAGCAACTTGGAAAAAGTCTTGTAATTTTTTTTTATTATAGTAATCAATCAAAATTATTTTGTCAGAATGAAAAATTTTCAAGCACAGTTTTCACTTTTTTTTATAACAAAGAGAAAAGAATAGGAAGTCGTAGAGAACATTTTTTATATAAATATAAATAAATATTTATATTTTATATAATTTTCAGCGACAAGCAAAATGAAAATAAATGTTAGAAAAATTTTTGCACTGTTAAAGAAATTTATTTTATAAATTAAAAGTTTATATTTATAAATTTCTTTTAGACATAAAAAATTGTTAAAAAATATACTTTAGAAATCAAAACTTATTAGAAATTTGTTTTATTTTTAAATTGATTTTATTAGAAAAGACTTGCTTTAGAAAAGAAGGATTAGAAAACATTTTATAGAAAAATTTATCATCTCCCATTCTCCCATTATAATTATTATGAATCTTTTTTTATACCTAAGACAATTTTTTTTATGATTCACGATTGCCACAGGTTAGTAAAACAGAAAAAAGTAATTTTAATTTAAGTAATTTTATTAAAAATTCTAAAAAGATCTAGGGTTTTTAAGAAATTTTAATTTAACTTTTTAAGAGATATGAAATTGAAACTTTGTGAAATCGAATAGAAAATAATTAAATTTGCTTAAGAATTTCATTAGAGATTTTCAAAGGATTTTAATTTAATAATTATCAGTAAATAATTAAATTTTACACAGTCAATTTTTGTGACAATTGTGAATTTGTTGTTAAAAAACTTGTTTTAATATGTTTCATAAAATCCGTTTTTTAAAATACCTAAATAAATAAAAATTAAAAATTTTTGATAAATAATCTTTATAGTTATAAATTTTCCAAAAATCAATCTTTATGTTTAAAAAGTTTTTAAAAAAATAACCTTTATAGTTATTTTTTCAAAATAATTTTTATATTCATAGAATTTTATTTTTTTGTATAAAAATAATCTAATTAATTTATTTACGTGACTTAGAAGAAAGGAAAGAGAAATTGAATTGCAAATTGAATTGCTTTCTTGTTAATTAAAGTTCACATTTATAATTTTGTGAAAAAGATGATTTAAATTCAGTTCGACATTGAGATGAGGGAAAATTAGATAAGTTTTTCTGGTTTATTTTTTTTTCTTTTGCTCTCATTTAATTAATAAGATTTGGGATAAAGATAAATTGAAGTCAAGACAAGGGAAAGTTTTCGCATGTAAAAGATATAAATGATATAGGATATATATTTTTTTTCTTTTTTGATACTATGATGGAAGAGAGTTTTATTTATTATTTCTCTTATTTTTGACCTTCTTTCTCTCCTTTGAATATCTACTTTCATGAGATATATTGTTTAAGACGAAGAAGCTTTTTTCCAGTGCTTTTTTCCTACTTATATATTCATACGTCATTACGCTATACATGCACTTCCATATAAAAATATTATCGAATGTGTAAACCGCGTGAATGGTCGAGTTTTTAAAATATCTCCTTCAGGTTTTATAATACACCTATTTTATTTCCCATATTATCAAAGAAATTATTATTCGACCTCACGCGAGGCCTTTTATCGACTTCTCGTTATATTCTTGTACTTCCTATCTTAATACATTGTTAATTGATCTCAGGTACATAACTTCTTGTGACCTAGACGTTCATCAAACACGATATTAAGAGTACATTTTTTTTCTCCCGCTATTAATTATTATCAAGGATTCCATATTTTTCTTTTTTCTTTCTTTCACTTCTTTTCACAACAACAAATAATCGAAAAAATTTATATCTAACTACTTTTATTTTTACGATTATAGACTTTTACAGGGTTGTCACAGGTTAGGAATTCAGGGAAAAGTCAGGAAAAGTAGGAATTGGTCAGGGAAATGAGGGAAAAGTCAGGAAATTTTATCGAATGTACTGGAAAAAATCAAATTTTTAAAATTCATAAGAAAATTCTCAATTTTGGTGTCTTATCTGTTTGCCTCATAAACTATGAAATTTCCACGAATTCTAATACAAACCTTCAATTTTTCCTATTTCGTGAAATAATTTCTTTTTAAATAACTCAATTCTTGAAGAACTGTCATAAAATTATTGCTTAGAAATTATTTAATGAATAATTTTACTGAAATATTTCAAAATTACTTGAATTCTAAAAGAGTTGCGTTTACAATTTTTCATAAATAGATGAACTTCAAAAGGTTTTAATTTGAAATTTTAGAAAATTTTAATTCTGGATGAATTTAATTAGAAATTTCAAAGAACTTAGATTTTTGAAAAATTTTAATAATCAAAATTCTGCTGAAATTAGTTAAATTTTTTAATATACAATTTAATAAATTATTAAAAATAATTAATTTATAGAAGAATTTTAGTTAAGAACACTAAAAAAATTGAATTTTGGATATCTTTCAAATTATTGCAGAAATTCAATTATTTTCAAAAGTACTCAAATTTATTCTTCCCAGAAATTCAATTATGTTCAAAATATTTTTAAAAATTCTCGTCAAAATTTCAATTATCTTTGTAAATAATAAAACTCTTTTCCCAAATTCAATTATTTTTAAAAATATTAATAAAATTTTTGACAAAATTTCAATTATTTTAAAAAATTTTCCTCAATTCAATGATTTTCAATATTTACTATTTTAATAATGTTTTCCAAAAGAATTCAATTATTTTTAAAGAAATTTTATTAAAATTCTACGCAAACGTTTAATTATTTTTATAAATAATAACATAATTTCACAAGAATTCTATTATTTACAAATTTTTTATATATTTCTTCACAGTCATTCCATTATTTTTATGATTTTGGAGCAGTTGCAGGAGGAATTAAATTAAATATTATTGAATTTCAAAATGCTTAAAGTTTGAAATTTTTGAAAATCCTAATTCTTATATAAAAATACTAGGTAATAATAATCATTAAATATGATTAAATTTAATCCTTGAAAAACTTTCATAAAATTATTTATAAATAATAATAATTTAACAAAGAGTTTTACTTAAAAAAAATAGAATTTTGGAAGAATTGCTTTCGTAATTTTTATGATACTAGCGCCTCCGACGGCCTTCGGCCATCTCCGTTGCTTCCGTTTTATGTTCATTTTTGTTCAATTTTTAAAAGCTTTAACGTTAATTTTTTCAATTTATGTTTTTTTTTTTAATTAAAAAAATTCTATTTTAGTTAAAACATTTTTTTTTTCATGTATAAAATTTTCTTTTTTTTAATTTAATATTTCTTTTTTCATTTCATGTATAAAATTTTCTATTAATTTAAATATGTTATTTTTATTAGTATTAGTAGTATAAGAATAATTTGAATTTTATTACATTTAATTATCATTATTATTATTATTTATTATAATAATATTATTATTTTTAGTAACAATTTATTATAATAAAAATATCATTTTTAGTAACAACAGCAATAATTTTTACTTCAGATTGTTTAATTGTTAATAATTTTTAGACTTTTATATATGGGTCAAATTTTCTCAAAAAAATCAAAGTTGGTCATGGGTCTTTTAATTTTTGTGAAACTTGGTATGAAGGTAGTGTTTTATGACAAAAGATTTTAGAAAAAAAAGATTTAAAAAAATTTTTAAAATTGTGGATTTTACCGGGCATTAAACATCAAAGCACATTTTTTTTAAAAACGAATAACTTTTATCCATTTAGGAGTAGAGATGATTCTATCACTCAGTCGTATTTTAATAAATAGTGAAAATTAACGATCACTTGTAAAAAATCTTTTTTTAATATTTTGTTTTATAATAAATTATAGTTCTGAAGAGGACAGCTGTGCTGCCGAAACGTAAAAAGAATTGAATTTCTTTTATTTTTATTTTCCTTGACTCGGAGTGATCGTTAATTTTCACTATTTATTTTATTCATTTAGTTAGATTTTGTTTATATTTTAGATAATAATAGTTGATTATCTAACAATTTAAAGTGCAGTATTAAAGAAAAAAAATCTAAAATTTGCCTGGAAAAAAAGTCAAAAAAATTTTTATTTCATTTTTTCGGGCATAAGCA